ACACACACACACACACACACACACACACACACACACACACACACACAACTGGTAGGCGGATCATAACAGGAAGATGTACCTGGGTACACCGGGTGGGACGCGGGCTGGTCGGGAGGGGATCAGTGGGGGGGCGCTGAAGGGATCCTGGTAGCTGTTGAAGGCGTTGATGGGTGGTCCTGGGCGAGAGGGGATTGGTGGTGCGCCGAAGGCGGGAGAGGGGTTGCGCGGAGCTCCAAAGGCAGGGGAAGGGTTCAAGGGCGGTCCTGGTGTCGGGCCCCGAGCGGCAGGCGGGCGGCTGGGGGTCGGGGCGGCTGACGGGGGTGCCCTGCGCTGAGGGTTGGGGCTGAGAGGGCGATACGATTAAATGAAATGTAATAATCACCTAAAAGACCCTAATCCATTCTCCTGTAGAGGTGGATGTGAGGGAATTATTTGGTTTAATATAAGACAGACACACTGCAGAATGTGTAATTGCAGATTTTTTTTCCTCCAAATTCAGCAAAGCAGGCTTAATACTACAAGGTGAATGGTTTCAAATCTTAACTAAATGCTGGTTAACCCTCATCTCACCTGGCTTCTTGCATCCGGCCGTCATTTACGGGCGGGGGCACCGGGGTGGAGATGGTACCGGTGCTGATGTCGCCAATAATGAGCAGCGCCTCCTTGAGTGCATGATACATGCGCAACAGTTCGTCTCTGCGCTGGGCCTGGTCGGCCGATTCCTCCATGAGGATGCTCTGGTCCCCAGATGAGTAGAGGTAGGCTAGCAGCTCCGAGTGGATGAAATCCTTTGACTGAATGGAAGTTAATAGTGTCAAAACACAGAGAGATGCAACTTACATTGCTTAAAATAAGGAGCATGTGTGGACTTGGTACAGCAGTAGCCTGTGAAATGATCAGACGGCTCATAAATTGGAAAATATGGTTGAAAGACTAAGAAGGGAGAGGACAAAAACAATGTTAGAAAATCATGAGACAGGAGCTGCCCAGCAGACAAAAGGTGTTGGTATTATGTGTGTGTGTGTGTGTGTGTATGTGTGTGTGTAGCTGCTGGATTATTGGAAGCCATCAAGTGAGCTCACCACAATAATAAAAACCTAATAAATAGACGGTGGACAAGCCACTGTGAGCATGCACCATAAATGCTGTTAATTAGTGTCTTCAAGTTTATGTCCTCGTGTTCATGAGATACATGGCTGCTGCTGCCGCTGCCGCTTAGACGAACAAGAAAGAGGAAACGCCACGTTGCACGGCTCTGTGGTGCAATGACAGTTAGGTCTAATTAAAAAGCACTTTATCTGATCTCAGGTCAGATCACTGGTTTATGAGGTGCCTTGCTTGCTTTCATAAAGAATGTAGTATGCCTCATTTGCTGGATGATGGGAACATAACTGTCAGCATACATAGCTAATGGCATGTTTCCTCCACATATACATGGAGGTTTATTTACAAAAACACACATATTTGGTACGTAGGATGAGCACCAAGCAGAAGGACAATATGCACTCTGAGGTAATAGACTCAGATGATCTCGTTAATTGGGTTCCCGGATGTGACACTCTTAATTGTCTTGCGTCTGCTGCTGAGGACCGCTGGACTCACACTGTTGATCATGAGATGCATGATGGTCTTGGGCACGAGGTCTCTGGTGGATTTGTTGATGATGCCGATGTATGAGTCCACCAGGTTGCGGATGGTTTCCACCTGCCTCTCCAGCTGAGGATCCATGGAGAACGTGTCCGCAGGGGCAGCATCTTCATTCTCCATCTGTCAACCACACACACACACACACACACACACACACACACACACACCCCCCAACGACGATGAAGTATAAATACACGATAAACACATCTTCAGAGTTGCTCTCTGTAGAAGTAGAAATTAAGAGCCAAAAGCGTACACACAGAAATATGGAGGTGCATGTATTAATAATTACCAATATCATCAGATTTAAAGAAACAGAACCCTCCCACACACCTGGTCCTTCTCCGGATAAACTCCGGCCCTGAGGAAGGAGGCTTTCCAGCTGTCCACATCCTCTTGAGAATCACAGGCCAGCTCTACCTGCCGAAGATCCTTGTACACGTTCCTGTAAAGGCAAAACAAAGGACAGACACAAGTGCTGGTGAGTGTGTAGGCTTAGCCAGTACATATAGAAATGGTACAGGACGTACACGGCCCTTTACAAGTTAGGACTCACCTGTTATATTGATGTTTCCAACCAATAATGGCTATTTAACTGACAGAAACAGTATAATTTAGACACCACATGTATCGTTTACATTTGCAATACATTCTAAAAACGTTTAGTTGATGTCCCCAAACTTTTGAATGGCAGTGTACACGCACAGAAAAGGTAAAGTACACGTGCATCCACACACGTTTTCACTTAACATACACCTCACCTCTGTTCGGTGTTGAAGATTCCAAAGATGTGCTTTGTGGACATAAAGCCTTTCTCCACATCTCTGAGCTTCAGGTTATCCAGGGGCAGCATGTACTTCTTTTCTTTCTCCTAGCAAGAGGCAGACAGAAGAAATACGCAATTACAGCAGAACTGAAACCTGGAATATGCAACATATGACTTCAAAGAGTGAGTCATTGCATTTAGTTGGATAATGGAGATGGATGAACACAGTTCTCTCCCTCAATGCGTAGACTTGATGGAATGCATATCCTCTGGTTTGGACCACCACCCGGCTGGTGAGATGGAGCAATGCATGATGGGGGAGAGGAGGAAGAAAAGGAGGAGCATGAGGGAGTTCTGTGGGGGGAGTAGGTGGTACCGAAGATCGGAAACAGCTAT